AGTGGATGCCCATTCAGAAAACAAAGGTTAAATAGAACTTTTCACTGAGGAAAAAAACGTTCTAAAGCTGAAGAAATCGTGTTTTTGTCCTGGCCACCAACATTATTGTTCAATCACCATGAATAATTCAGGGCGTTGTAGAATACATGTTTTTAAAAAAGAGACTAATGACTATGAGTCACGAGATTAAGGCATATTAGAAGTATTACTTTGATAAGATAAGGCAAATTCGGTTGTGATTCAGCTACTGCAAAAAGCCCTTAACTGCAGCTGAAGTACACAGTGGGGACACAAAAAGCAGCAGACCTGCAGGAGAACCAGGATCTCAGCATTGTTTTTCTCCAGGGCTATGTCAAAAGCAGATTTCTCAAACTTGCTAAGAGCATGGACGTCGGCTCCATATTTGATCAGCAGCTCTACAACGTCTCGATGGTGGTGCTCTGTGGCCCAGTGCAAAGCTGTCATCTTCAACATGTCCTTGGCATTCACATCGGCACCATTCTGTCACAGAAAAGGAACTTTTTCAAAGAGACACTGGATACAGTAGCACAGGTTCAAGATGCTATCACCAATACGGAGGATTTCCACGGATTATACATATTCAAACTTAGATCACGTTTACGAAAGAGCAAAGGGAAAAACATTTCTCAAGTTACCCTGAGTGCTGATAGACATAATGCCTCAGTGAGTGGGTCTTCTAAGGACATCACTGGGGAATTAATATAACAGATGGGGGAGGAAGGGGAACAGAACAGGTTTTTGCTGCATTTATGAACAGAGCTGAGTGCCTGGAAAAACAGGTATAAGTTCAGAGAACACCTGCAGAAAAGGAATGAAGAAAAACCAACAAAGTGTGCCTAGCTTTCGAAAGATTAGAAAACAAAGTCCTCGTAGCCACGATTGCTCTTGAAAGTGACGCAACTCAATGCTATAAACTGTCCTAAACTTCGTCCTTTCCAACCCAGTTTCCTCCCACCCACTTAACTAAGAAAGGGAGGTGGGCGTCCTTTTTACGATACAGACCCGCCACGAGTCTTGCTTTACCCTGACAAGCAGCTCCACGATGTGTGCATGGCCGTCAGCTGCAGCCATGTGTAGGGGGGTCCTGTCCACTTTGGTCCGGGCATCCCTGCTAACGCCCGCTCGAAGGAGCACCTCTGCTGTGGAATAGTGACCATACTGGGCTGCCAGGTGGAGGGGTGATGTTCCGAGCTGTGGGAAAAGAATACCCACTGAATATCAACTGTGTGCAGACTCCTAGATCAGTACTGGAGAGATACAGGCAGACAAGAGGTGAATTCTGTGGTTCCTGTCCATCAAGAGAGAATCTGGTTGGGCAGACAGGACTGAAGAAATGACTTCATTAAAAAATTAATATACTAATGGACAAACCAATTCAATAAGTGGTAAGGATTTAAGTCAGATGGATTTATCAGGTAAGATTCCTTAAAGGACATGATTTTAAACAAGGCTTAGAGGAAGGTGAAAAAATGGACAGATAAGAGCATCGAGTCACCGGTAAAGGGAAGGGACAGGTGCAGGTTCAAAACAATTCTTAGGAAAAGGGCAGAGACTAAAAAGTTGCATGTGGGGTGCCGGCTGAAATGGCTGGAACAGGAGTTTGTTGCCACGGTAAAGCAAAGCAAAGCAGCAAGCCTGACGAAACGAAGAGGCAATAAAAAGTTAGCAATGATGTGTCCATCCACAGCAATAAGGAAGTCTGTATCATCTCAAAGTCAATCCTGTATGATACCAACATCCATTTTGGCCAGGCTGCTGTTCCTTTCCTTGTGTTATGCTCTTTATTTTAGGCCTATGTCATTTACTCTTTGCTTTTCATATACTCAGCCTCTCTGCCTGACCGGATTGAATTCACATTGCTCTTTTCAGGTCTATTTCTAGAAATGCTAATCTCATGGGTTTCCTCTTTTCCTTTTGGTAAAGTGCTAAGAACCTGCTGGCCTCTGAAGTTATGAATGAATCACCCCAGAAAAGAGGACACTCGCTCACTGAATTGTTAAAGTCAGGCAATGCTTATAACATCCATGAATGCGAAGCGAGTCCACACTGTCGCCTGGTCCTGGGTCCTCTCAGATGCTGCTCTCCACGCTGGCTCTCTAGATTCATGAAATGACACCTTCCTGTTTAATGTTTTCTAACAGTGGTGAAGGAAACAAAATGGCTCGACTATTCCTTATCAACCACGACATTTTAGAGGAAAGGAAACAAGGAGTTTATTAGTTTAGAAATGCACTCTCATTACACTGGTTTTGTTTAATTTCTAGCTAATTACAGGAGCCTATAATCCAAGTATGCTCCAGGGAGAATTAAATTTCTAGAAAATACTCTAAAAAGCATTATTGAAAATCATAAGTATACAATACCTTTAGAATTACCACCTATATATCCACAGGAGACTCTTTCAATTTGGAAAACCAAAAAAGAAAAGAAAACCACATATTCAGATGAGACAAAATAAAACTCTTGTGGGGAGAATGAGGGAGGAAAGGAGTGAAGAAAAATCAATAAAGTCTGTTTAGCCTTTAAGAAAAAGAGTGGTGAGCTGGCTGAGTGGCGCGTTGGTTAAGAGCTGGCTTGGGATGCCAGCTCTGAGCAGCAGGGCCCTGGTTTGGATCCCATTTGGGGGCCAGTGAGACTGTAGCTAAGATGGTGAACAACAGCTTGACCTGGAGCTGGGCTGCCGTGAGTCGCCGGCAACGGCGTAGGCTGCAGCCCCTGCTGCAGTGGGCTGCCATAAGCTACTATGAGTGGCCGGCCGGCAGCCAGCGTGAGC